CTGGGACGGTTCCGACCCTGTGCTGCCCCGGGGCAGGGGCAGGGGCGGCGGAGCTGCTCGTGGGGCTGCAGCTCCCCGGCCTGGCTCTGCCCCCCGGGCCGGGGCGGGCCTGCCTAGCCCTGCGGCAGTGGCCTCACTTCGGCCCCTTCTCGCCAGGGGTGGACGACGCGGAGTCCGAGTGCGGCCTGGACCAGGGCCTGGCCTTTGACTGGACCCTGCACAACGACGGCGACGCCGCAGCCCTGGAGCGCCAGTTGGGGGCCGTGCTGGGGGCCGTCCAGGACCAGCTCTAGCGGCGCCGGGCCGGGGCTCTTCCCTGCCGTGAAGCTGGAGCCGCTGAGGCAGGCCCAGGAAGCCCGAGGCTGGGCCGTACAGCAGGGCTGCGGGCCTCCTTGGTGCTGGCTTTGGCCCGTGACGGGTATCCTGGAGGGAGCTGGTCCCTGCAGGGCTCTACCCCCCGCCCCCCGGCAGGGGGCGGAGGCCGAGCGCCGGTGGAGCAGGCCCCGGAGCGCCGTGTCCGGCGGGGCTGGCAGCTCCCCGGAGAGTCGCCGGGGCAGTGGGGCGGGTGTCGCTCCCTTGTCTGCCACCAGGGGGCAGGGCCCCCGCCGGAGCAGGTGGCGGGCCTGGGCTGAGCCCCTGGAGCTGGTGTCGCTGCAATAAAGGTGACGGGTGCGAAGGGCCGCGCCTCTTCTGTTCGGGGGTGGTCGCGGCCCGGGGGCGGGGGGCTGGCTCCGCCGCTGCGGCTGGAAGGAGGGCCGGCAGGATCGGGGCCCTGGCACCTCCGGGTGGCAGCTGAGCTGAGCTGAGCTCACAGGCAGAGGAAGCTGGTGCTGGGTCCGCGGGGCTCGTCGGTGCCACCGGGCCTCCCGCCGGGCGTGGAGGAGGAGCACGGGGCTGGGCTGGGGGCTGCCTGGACCCCTGCGGCAGGTCCACGTGGAGGCCGCCCGTCGCGGCTGCAGCAGCGTGGAGACGCGGGACTCCGGCCTGAGGCCGGGCCAGCTGGGGAGGGGGGATGACAGCTGGGCTCCTGCTGCCGCCAATTCCCCCCGGATTATCTGCTCCTGCGCTAAAACCTGGCGCAGCTGGAGCGCGGCTGCGGGAGGGGGGGCAGAGGACGTCCCCGCGGGGCTGCTCAAGGTGACACGTGTAGGTGCGGGGGGCGCTGGGCTCGGAACCGCCCCCAGCAGCCCTGGGCCAGGAACAGGCTCGGGCTCTGCTGTGTCCCTCGGGCCGCGGGAGGTGGGGCCCCGCCCCCGGTCAGGTGCGGCAGGGCCCGACCCTGCGTCTCCGCCCCGCACCGGGTGGGCGGCCTCGAAGGCCCCGGTAGCTCCCGACTCCGGCCGCTCCAGTCCCCCAGGCCCGGCCCGGCCCGGCCCGGCGGCGTGGGAGATTAGCGGAGACGTCCAGTCGTCCCCGCGCGGGGGCGGCTCCACTTGCTGCTCCTTCCCCGGCGGGCTCCGGCGCGCACAGGCCGGGACCCCCGGGCGCCGCCGGCCTCTGACCTGCAGCCCCGCGGGGCCAAGATGCGGAGATCGCGGGGGACAGCGAGAAGCAGCCGCCCGGGGAGCAGGAACCCGGCGGAGCGGGGAGACCGCGGGCGTCCGGGCTCCTGTCCCCGGCTCCAGCCCACGGGGCCCCGGCCCCGGCCCCCGCGGGCAACGGAACCCAGGAGTCCTGC